AACGGTTGGTGAAAGTGCTGAAGGGAGGCAGCATGTCTGGCCTTGCAGTAATAGGCCTTGGGTTACTGCTGGTAATCCTGTCTTCCTCTCGTGGGATTACAGGAGGTCAGAACATGTGGCCTCCTTGCCGTTTTTGCAGGGATTTAATGAAAAGAGAGGATAACAAACTGAAAGATTTCTTCCTTTTTCTTACCCATATCATATACAATGTTTTTTCTTTATTAAAGTTTCATTAACATTTATTGAAGTTGTCCTGAAGAGAAACTGCTATGCCAACAAAACTTTTACAATGACTTTTAGGCTTTTACTTACACACACACACACACACACACACAGAGAGAGAGAGAGAGAGAGTTTCATGACTTCTTCTACTCAAACATTTGAAATCAATTTTGATTATAAGAACTACAAGGATTGTCTTGGGTACTTTCTATTTTATTTATGGACAAACTGTTGCTAAAGGTCAACTCAGAACCTACTCAATCAGTGCCACAGTAGTCAGCCTTATGTCAGAATTGCCTGTTGAGATGTGCAGATCAGACGCTGAGATTTCAGTGCATACTATTGCTGCACTGCACTATAAAGAAATTCATCTGACTGCATTATAAGACTTGTTTGCTGCATGGATGCTAAATTTATCCAAGGTCTTTCTGAAATGTAGTAACAAATCTACTTCGTCAGATATAGTTTTCAATTCATGTATATACCAAACAAGAAGCATCAGGTTATATATAGGACTAAAAGCTTAACTATCCACATTGAGGAAGCTAGTGCAGTTTTCAGGATTTCAGAAGATATTCACTCTTTCATACATAGTTTAAAAATGACAGTAAAAAATAAAGAAGGTAATAAAGAAGCATGTTCCTTTAGAAAGCAAATTTTACTTTAACAATTTTATGGCATAAACAGTATAGTTTTCCTGAGACACTAAAAGCCCAGCCTTGACATAACTGGCCAAGTAACCCACTTGAGAGCAGAGCTTCCACAAATCATTAAAATTAACATCGCTCTTTATACAACCATCACCAGTTATAGAATCCTTCTGATCAAATTCCCACCACTTAAACTTTAGATCCATCTATATCAATCCTTTCCCACATTTCTTGGCTCATCATTTTAGCACTGACACCATTGGCTCACACAGTTTTGCTTCTAAAACATCGATTTTATCATGTCACTCCCCTGCTTTAAGTCCTATAATTTTTCCTCTTTCCTTCAGAATCAGGTATCAACCTCTTTTTAAGAGTCTCATCTGCTTCCTCTTCCTCTCAAGTACTCTTGAGATCATTTAGCTTGCTATCTTTTCTGAACAGGCTATGTATTCTCACAAATCTGTGCTTCCACTCAGGAAATGAAGTTTCTCTGGATAATCTTTCAGTAGCATGGAACTTGAGAAATACCAAACCAGAGTATAAAAACTCACTCATTTTCAATTAAAGAAAAAAAAAACTTAGAATTCTTGAAAACATAATAAAACATGTATTTAGAAATAAATTTACTACAAAGTATACTTAATTCGTTGTTGTTAAGTGCCACTGAGTCGAACCCGACTCATAGCGACCCCTCCTTGGGTTTCCGAGGCAGTATCACTATGGAAGTAGATTGCCCCATCTTCCTTCCGAGGAGTGGCTGGTGGATTTGAACCACCAGCCTTCTGGTTAACAGTCAAGTGCCTTAGCCACTATGCTACCAGAGTTCCCATATTCAATATTAAATAATATAAAAGAAATAAAAATATTATTTCCACATGATTATTGGCACAGTTACAGTGCTTGGCTGCTAACCAAAAAGATCAGCGGTTTGAACCCACTAGCCACTCTGCAGGAGAAAGATGTGGCAGTCTGCTCCTGTAAAGATTAAACCCTTGAAAACCACATTGGGCAGTTCCATTCTGTTCGACAGGTTTGCTATGAGTTGGAACTGACTTGACAGCACTGGTTTAGTTAAACTAACCTGCCAGTGTTGAGTGACAGCATTCCACACTCCTACTTTCCCTGTATGACTCGTGGCCACCAACTGGTTACCAATAAAGAAGAGAGCATCCACAGGAACGCCAAGGCTGAACACTCCTTAAACAACAATGAAAATATAAAAGGTTATTCAGTCACCATTTCAGAATTACCTAGACTGAAATATCTTAAAAATGACTCATTTAAACAATTCCGATTTGCAGAAATTATATACTAGGCACTTTAGGAACCAGAAATAAGATGCTTTTAAGCAGCTTATGGAACTCTTAAAGCAGACAAAAGTCTGCCCCAAGTAATCTCAGATTTGATGTGATACCTTATTTATCTGAAACTGGGTTCCCAAACCTACCTGATCATCAAAATTATATAATATGAAAGAAACAGAATTATATGTATGTACATATTTATATACTATATATTATATGAATTCTGGTTAGCAGTCAAGTGCCTTAGGCACTATGCTACTAGAGCTCCCTTTAAAGTTCCTGGGTCCCATGCCAGAACCAGTAAATCAGAATCTGCATTTCTACCAACCTGATATCAGGACCGATCAATCTGAAGATAAAGACTTAACAACCTCACCTATCCAGAAAATGCATGTTGTTGTTGCTGTTGTTGTTAGGTGCCGTTGAGTCTTTTCCGACTCATAGCAACCCCATGCACAGCAGAACAAAACACAGCCCGATCCCGCGCCAGCTCCAAGATCCTTGCTATACTTGAGCCCATCATTGCAGCCACCGTGTCAATCCATCTCGTTGAAGGCCTCCCTCTCTTTCGTCGACCCCCCACCCTACCAAGCATGACATACTCCTCCAAGGAATGGTCCCTTCTGACAACATGACCAAAACAGGTGAGACGAAGTCTGGCCATTCTTGCTTCCAAGAAGCATTTTGGATGCACTTTCACCAGGACAGATCTGTTAGTTCTTTTAGCAGTCCATGGTTCTTTCAGCATTCTTCACCAGCACAACTCAAAAGCATCAACTCTTCTTCGGTCTTCCTTATTCATTGTCCAGCTCTCACAAGCATACGAGGTGATTGGAAATATCATGGCTTCTGTCAGGCACACTTTAGTCCTCAAGGAGACATCCTTGCTCCTCAGCATTTGAAACAGCTCCTTCGCGGTTGACTTTCCCAATGCTATGTTGTTGTTGTTGTTGTTATGTGCCGTCGAGTCAGCCCCGACTCATAGCGACCCCTCCTTGGGTTTCCGAGGCAGTATCACTACAGAA